GCCAAGGAGCAAGCCCCGGCTATGGATCTCCCTGTATCCCAAGGGAATTTGAAGCAGCTCTTCCCAGTACCTGCAGGAAGTCACCCAGAGCCTTGTGGAGACGTGAATCCCCCTGTGGAGCGCGGAGGAAGGAGTGGGAACGGCCTCATCCCTGGGTGCCGGCACGCAGCGCCTTGGGGAGAAGAAGTGCTGCCTTCACAGTGGGGATTCTCCGAGCACATCCTCAAGCCCCCTTCTCCAGTGCCTTCTCCAGCTCTGTGTTTTCCCTGTGGAAACACACGGATGTGGGTGCAGGGAGCCAGCCCCTTGGCTGGGGCTGCTCCGTATCCGAGCTCCTGCGCATCACCCACGCTGCTTCCCTTGTGCAGGGCAGGGATAGGCTGGAGTGAAGTGGGAATTAGATGCTCTCTGGTTCTCTTGGCAGTTCACAGCTACCTGCAGGCCCAGACTTGGCTCCTGAAGCTGCCAAGGCTCCATAGGGGGGTTGGTTTTGAGGCTTCCATCCAGCTCCAGACTTTCCATCCTGGGGGTCAGCCAAGACCTTCTCCTCAGCAGAGCCTGCTTACCCCAACAACGCATCCCGTGTTCCTTTGGATGAGGTGCTTTATCCCTTTCCTCCCATCACCAGCCACCAAACCCTCCCAGGATCTCCTTGATCTCATTTCCTTGGTGCCATTCAACATCTCCCCTCAATTCTGTGTTACCCAGAGCTGGAGTGAAGCTGGTGCTGAGGGATGAAAGCCAGTTCCAGCCCCTATGGTGCCTGTGGTCCTCAGCGCAGGGTCTGCCTTTGTTTTCCTGCAGGCCAAGGTGACCGTGCCAGCACGGGGTGCTGTGATGGAGGCCAAGGAGCCTGGTCCAGCACCGCTGACGTAGCCCAGCACCAGTGACCTTGGCTTTGCTCAACCAGCAGCATCCTGAGCTGGGTTTTCCCCTGTGAGGTCCCGCTTTGACCCTTCCCCATCCCACTTCCCCCCACGCAGCCATGGGACGGACGAAGGACCAGCAGTGCCTCGCTGTTGGGACACCTGAGGATGCTGCTCTCCCCGCTCCAGCCTTCCCCAAGCATCCCCCACGGCCCAGCTTTGGACTGGGGTGAAGATGGGGAGCCCTCCGCTTGACATTGCCCCGGTGCCTCCGTTAAGGACGTCGTGATAAGTGCCCCACAGAGCTGTTTGCCTTCCTTATCGTGAGCGCTGCCCAAACAACGCGCTTGGGGATATAAGGAACCTGCTTGGGACGCCCTCGCTGGGTCTGCACCTCAGCTGCTAGAACCAGCATGAAGCTGCTCCTGCTCTTCAGCTTGGTGGCCCTGGCTCAATGCCTCCTCCACAGGTAAGCATGGGGACAGGGGTGGGATGGGATTTAGGGTGCTGAGGACCCTGCAGAACCCGTGCAGGGGACAACGTGCAGCCCCCCCAAGCCATTGCGTGGCCAAGGCTCCCCACAGCAAGGAGATGGCTGGGTCCCACATGTGGAGAGGGACCTGCAGGTCCCCTGAGCACATCCCTGAGCAGAGGGTGAGGGATCCCTCTGCTGTGTCCCAGGATCCCTCTGAGGAAGGGCAAGACCCTGCGGCAGTCCCTGCAGGAGCATGGCTTGCTGGAGCGCTACCTCAAGCAGCACCCCTACAACCCGGCTGCCAAGTACTTCAGGACCCTCGTCTCTTCTGAGCCTATGCAGAACTACATGGATGTGAGCATGGCAGGGAGAGGGCTGGTCCCTTCCCATCCCACTGCCCCCTTTCCCATCCCTCTAGCTCCTTACCTGACCCACTAGCTCCTTACCCGTTCCCCTAACCCATTCCCTACCCTGCTAGCCCTTTACTCATCCCAATAGTTCCATACCTTTCCCTCTAACCCTTTACCCATTCCCCTAACCCATTCCCTACCCCGCTAGCCCTTTACTCATCCCAATAGTTCCTTACCTTTCCCTCTAACCCTTTACCCATTCCCCTAACCTGTTAACTTATCCCACTGGCCCATTACTTGTTCCACTAGCCCCTTACCCATTCCCCTAACCCGTTACCCATCCCACTAGCCCCTTACTTGACCCACTAGCCTCTTACTTAATATGCTAGCTCCTTACCTGTCCCTCTCATCCTTTTCCAGTTTCCCTAACCTATTGAGTCATCCCACTAGCCCCCTACCTGTTCCATTAGCCCTTTACCCTTTCCCCTAGCCCCTTACCTGACTTGCTAGCCCCTTATCCATTCCCTTAACCGGTTAACTCATCCCTCTGGCCCCTTACCTGGGCCACTAGCCCTTCAACCATTCCCCTAACCCGTTACCCATCCCTCTAGCCCCTTACCTCACCCACTGGCCACTTACCTGACCCACTAACCTCTTACTTGATAGGCTGGCTCCTTACCTGTCCCTCTCATCCTTTACCAATTCTCCTAACCCATTAAGTCACCCCACTAGCCCCTCACCTGAACCACTAGCCCCATACCTGACCCTCTAACCCTTCACCTGGTGTTAGTTCCTTACCCTAATCCTTTACCAATGGCACTCATCCCACTAGCCCCTTCTGCATCCCAGTAGCCCATTACCCACCTTGCTAGCCCCGTCTCCATCCCACTAACCCCCCACCCACCCTCCTTTGGCAGAGCTCCTACTATGGCACCATCTCCATCGGGACCCCCCCCCAGGAGTTCACCGTCATCTTCGACACCGGCTCCTCCAACCTGTGGGTGCCCTCCGTGTACTGCACCAGCCTGTCCTGCAGTAGGTGTCTGCTAGCCCTGTGGCCACTGGGCGAGGGGAGAAGCCCCCAGGATTCCCTGGGAGCCCTTGAAGGGATCAGGAGACGAGGATGGCTCTGCCCTGTCTCTCCCAAGGGATTTAGGGCCATGGGGAGGCACTGGAGATGCATCCTCAGCCCTTGGGGTCAGGCTGGACCGTGACCATCTCCCTGCATCCCCACAGGCAACCACAAGCGTTTCAACCCAGCAGAATCCTCCACCTTCATCAGCACCAACGAGAGCCTCTACATTGCCTATGGCACTGGCAGCATGTCTGGTATCCTGGGCTATGACACCGTCCAAGTAAGGCACCGTGCCCCAGCTCCCCCCGTCCCATGGGACTGAGGCCATTGGGACACCCACACCGAGCCTTTCTCCCCCGTTTCTTTGCCCAGGTTGCAGACATCGAGGTCTACAACCAGATCTTTGGGCTCTCTGAGACCGAGCCTGGGGACTTCTTCTACTACAACCCCTTCGATGGCATCCTGGGGCTGGCTTACCCCAGCATCGCCTCTGCTGGAGCCACCCCTGTCTTTGACAACATGATGAGCGAAGGTCTTGTGGCCAGGGACCTCTTCTCTGTCTACCTGAGCAAGTAAGTCCTGGCCAGAGCCACCCAAGCCCACGGCGAGGATCTTCTCCCATTGTCTCCCTGCCGAGGCTGACTCCAGGACCATTCCTTGGTGCTGTGACACCCTATGGCTCCCGGGGACATGCTGGTGCTGGCATTGCCATGGTGGTGATGGGACAGGGCCCTCATCTGATGGATTCCCCCTTCCAGGGATGAGGAGAGCGGCAGCTTTGTCCTCTTTGGTGCCATCGACCCCTATTATGTCACCAACGGCATCGTCTGGATCCCCCTCTCTGCTGAGACCTACTGGCAGATCACCATGCGCAGGTAGCCCTGGGGTAGCTGCAGCGGGGGGGGGGGGCTCCCCTCGCCCTGCAGACGCTGGCTTTTGGGGGTACAGCACCCAGGAGCCTCACCCTGTGTCCCTTTGTCCCCAGTGTCTCCATCAAGGGCAAGGCTGTGGTCTGCCAGCACAGCTGCCAGGCCATCGTGGACACGGGCACCTCGCTGCTGGCCATGCCCAACCAGGACCTCACTAAGGTCCTCCGTGCCCTTGGTGCCACCTCCAGCGGCGAGGTGAGACCCAGGGGAGCACACAGAGCTTTGGGGCTCCCATGGGGTGCGTGGTCCTTCTTGGGGTGACCACAGACACCCCCCCCCCCGTCCCCTTTACCACCGTGTGTCCATCCCCACCCCAGATCGACTGCAATGACCGGCACAGCCTGCCCGACGTTGTGTTCCACATCAACGGTGCAGAGTTCCCTGTGACACCCAGTGCCTACGTGATGGAGGTGAGCATCCTGCTGGGCTGGGGACCGGGAGGGCTCAGGGAGGAGATCCAGGAGCTGGGAATCACCCTCCACCGTGTCCTTGCCTGCAGAGCGATGGGGTCTGCAGCCTGGGCTTTGAAGGCATGGATGTCCCCACTGAATCCGGCGAGCTGTGGATCCTGGGTGATGTCTTCATCCGTGAGTACTACGTGGTCTTCAACAGAGGCAGGAACATGGTGGGCTTGGCCCGCCTGCCCTGAAGGACGAGGCAGGGCTGCCCCACTGCCCTGCAGCCCTAGCATGGCAGCTCCCCGCCACCTCCTGCCGTGACCACCAATAAAGCTGTATAGAAGCATCCTTGGGTTGTGTCTCTGGGTTCAGGTGCCACCACGGCCCTGGGCATGGAGCGTGGGCACCTTGGTGCCACCTTCACCCCCCTGATGATGCTCTTGACCATGCAAACATGGCCAGGGCTCCCAGACCCCTTCCTCAGCACCCTTTCCTTAGGATCAACCTGCAAAGGTCCTGTCTGGGTGCTCTGCTGATGCTCTTGACCATGCAAACATGGCCAGGGCTCCCCAGACCCCTTCCTCAGCACCATTCCCTTAGGATCAACCTGCAAAGGTCCTGTCTGGATGCTCTGCTGATGCTCTTGACCATGCAAACATGGCCAGGGCTCCCCAGACCCCTTCCTCAGCACCATTCCCTTAGGATCAACCTGCAAAGGTCCTGTCTGGACACAATGAACTCCCCACTGGACAAGGCACATCCCTCCTGTCCCCAAACCCAACTTGGGGGGGGGGGATGAACAGCACCATCCAGGGGGGGTGGGGGGGGCTGCACACCCCAAATCCCCCTCCAAGGACACCTAGAGCAGCCCTATAGTAGGTACAAGCAGGAGTAAGGGGAGAGGGCATAAATATCAGGGTGACTTTATTGGTGGCAGGGAGGGCAGGTCCCCTGTCCCCAGGCCAGGAGCTGGGGCAGCAGCACCCCAGGGGTGCATGGGGCACTTGGGGGGCTGGTTTGGGGCTGGGGGTCCCCAGGGATGCTCCAGGGCTTCCCTGCGCCATCCTGCTGGGAGGATCCAGCCTATGGGGCTGGGGGTCCTTAAGGATGCTCCAGGGAGATGGAGGGGGTGCTCCTGGGGGACCCCAGCACCTCAGGGTGGATGAGGACCACGCAGCCTCTGCCTGAGAGAGAAGCAGTGCCTATGCACCCATGGGAGGTGGGATGCACCCATGGGAGGGGGGATGCACCCATGGGAAGGGGGATGCACCCATGGGAGGGGGGATGCACCCATGGGAGGGGGGATGCACCCATGGGAGGTGGGATGCACCCATGGGACATGGGATGTACCCATGGGAGCCAGGATGTACCTGCGAGAGCTGGGGTACACCCTTGGAGCTGGGATGCACTCATAGAGCTGGGATGCACTTATGGGAGCTGGGATGCACCCATGGGAGGTGGGATGCACCCATGGGACATGGGATGTACCCACTGGAGCCAGGATGCACCCATAGAGCTAGGATTCATCTATGGGGCCTGGGATGCACCCATGGCAGATGGGATGTACCCACTGGAGCCAGGATGCACCCATAGAGCTAGGATTCATCTATGGGGCCTGGGATGCACCCATGGGATCCGGGATGCTATTGCCCACCCCATCTACTTGGCACCCCCTCCCCAGCCACCCATCACCCCAGGGGCCTGGTGGGCCAGACCTGCTGGTCCTGCAGACCCCTTCTCCTCCTCTTCCTCTTCCTCCTCCTCCTCTCCATCCTTACCAAGTGCCACTTGGTCCCTATGGGGCCATGGCCCCGGGGCTCTCCCCTCTGGCCGGGGTCACAGCAGAGGGCTCCGTGTCCCTGGGGGGTTCCTGAGCTCTGGGGCTGCCTGTGGGAGCCGGGGGTGCTCCGGCCTCAGAGGGGGCGTTGGGGGGCAGAGATGGGTGCCCAGAGGGGCTCAGTGCGGCCTCGGGGGGCTCCCCAGCCCCTGCACCCCCCAAAGAGGGGCCAGGGGGGGCTGTGTTGGGGAGCAGGAGCTGGGCCAGGCGAGGCCGGGGGGGGCGGGATGGTTGGGGGGGCGTTGGGGTTGCAGTGGGGGTGTCCTCATGGCTTGGGGATGGGGATGAGGATGAGGAAGATGAGGATGGGGATGGGGATGGGGCCAGGTCACTGCTCTGCAGCGGGAGCCGGACGTCTGTGGCTATGGAGAGATGCTTTGCGTTAGCACCCACCTCCCCCTTGGGGACCCCCATGGGCTGCATGGGTGCACCCCAGGGTGCTCCAGAGGGGGGGGGGGGTCCCCATTTGAACCCCATCACCCCGAGCATCACCTTGAGCCTGGCAGGGCGCAGCGAGCTCCGCGCAGGACCGGGGGCACAGCCTCTGCTCGCAGCTCACCTCCCCGAGCTGGTACCGAGGGGAAGGTTGGGGGTCAGCCCCCCCCCCATTGCCCCCCCCCACCCCATTGCCACCACCACCCCATCCATGCCCCCCCATTCACCTGGCAGGTACAGCGGGTGCAGGGCTGGCCCTCGGGGGTGAAGGTTTGGCCATTCCCCACCTTCCGACCTTGGTAGTTGCAGTCTATGGGGCAGGGGGGGGAGGCAGCGATGGGGAGGGGGGTGATGGGGGGGGGAACCACACACACACACTCAAGGTGGGGCCAGGACACCCCCCCCGGTTGTCCCCTTTGGTCCCTACCGTTACAGACGGGGCAGCACTCGCCCTCGGGGTGGAAGGGGTACGTGCAGAAGATGGCACAGTCCATGGGGGAGCAGGCCACTGATCCCAGCTGCGAGAGATGGGAATGGGATGGGGGGGTGGAAAAGGGGGAATTCCCCAAGGCTTTTTCCTTCAAAGGAGGAAGAAACCTGGGCTGAGGAGCCAAGAGCATCTCGTGGTACCCGGCCCAGCCCTCACCAGGCAGATGCAGCTGAGGCACGGGTCCAGCACGGAGGGGAAGGTCTCGTTGTTGTAGAAGATCCTCCCCATGTAGGTGCAGCCTGGAGGGAGAGGGGGGGATTTGGGGGGGGGGGGGGGGGGCAGAGATGGGTTTGGGACCCCCAGAGTGTCAATGGGGTTGGGAAAGGGCTTTAAGAGCATCGAGTCCAACCCCAAGGCCACCATAACCCATAGCACCCTGGCTCCATCCTCCTGTCAGGCAGCTGTGGGGAGCGATCAGGTCCCCCCTGAACCTTCTCTTCTCCACACTGAACCCCCCAGGTCCCTCAGCCCTTCCCCATCACTCCTGTGCTCCAGGCCCTGCTCCCACCCCCCTGTATCCCTATGGATACAGCGGCTACCCCCAGCAGCATCCTCACCTGCGGAGCAGTCGGGGCAGCACTGCCCAGGGATGCGGATGGGATAGGGACACGTCTCCACGCAGTCTGTCCTCTTGCAGCTCACGGAGCCATCAGCCTGCAGGGGAGAAGCACTTGACCGAGACCTCAGGCTGCCCAAATCCATGGGGATCAACACCCCCCCCCTCCCCTCCATGGGGAGTGCCAGGGATCGTGGCCATGAGGAGCCCGGCGTTCCCAGGGGAGGAGTGGAGCAGAGCAGGTTCTCATTCACCTGGCAGATGCATAACTCACAGGGATCGCCCGGAGACCAGATCTGTCCGACGGGGAGCTCCACGCCGTTGTCATCCAGGAAGCAGCCTTGGGATGGGGGTGGCATGGAGGGGACGTGGGTACCCGCCAGGGATGGACGTGTGTGTGTGGTACCCATCGCCCCGCAGGGACTGCAGCCTCCCGATCCCTGTGCGCCCACATCCAGCTCCCCTGCCCTTCATGTCCACATGTTCCCTACATCCCAGCGTCCTCTACATCCCGTCCTTCTGGTCCCCGTATCCCCTACATCCCATCCTCACTATTGCCCCAAGCCCATTTTCCTTGTCCCCAAGCATCTCCACCCGTCTCACCCCACCCCATCCCATCCCACCCCATCACGTCCCATCCCACACCCTCCCATCCCACCCATCCTTTCCCACCCACACCCATCCCCTTCCATCCCACACCATCCCACCCCACCCATCCCACCCCACCCCATTCCCTTCCACCCCATCCTACCCCATCCCATCGCTTTCCATCCCATCCCATCCCACCCCATCTCCTCCCATCCTACCTCATCTCACCCCATCCCATCCTCCCCCATCCCACCAATCCCATCCCCTCCCACCCCATCTCCTCCCACCCCATCCCACCCATCCCATCCCACCCCATTCCATCCTCCCCTATCCTACCCCATTCCATCCTCCCCCGTCCCACCTACCCCATCCCACCCCATTCCATCCTCCCCTATCCCACCCCATTCCATCCTCCCCCATTCCATCCTCCCCCATCCCACCTATCCCATCCCACCCCATTCCATCCTCCCCTATCCCACCCCATTCCAACCTCCCCCATTCCATCCTCCCCCATTCCAGCCTCCCCCATCCCACCTATCCCATCCCACCCCATCCCATCCTACCCCATTCCATCCTCCCCTATCCCACCCCATTCCATCCTCCCCTATCCCACCCCATTCCATCCTCCCCTATCCCACCCCATTCCATCCTCCCCCATCCCACCTATCCCATCCCACCCCATCCCATCCTACCCCATTCCATCCTCCCCTATCCCACCCCATTCCATCCTCCCCCATCCCACCTATCCCATCCCATCCCATCCCATCCTACCCCATTCCATTCTCCCCCATCCCACCCCATTCCATCCTCCCCCATCCCACCTATCCCATCCCATCCTACCCCATTCCATCCTCCCCCATCCCACCCCATTCCATCCTCCCCCATCCCACCTATCCCATCCTACCCCATCCCACCCCATCCCATCCCACCCACCCCACCCCACCCCATCCCCTTCCATCCCATCCCACCCCACCGATCCCCTTCCATCCCACCCCATCCCACCCCTGCTCTCACCGGTGGGGGCCGGGGGTTCCCTGCAGCTGAAGCAGCACTGCCCGGGGCTCAGCTGCTGCTGGTGCTGGGGACAATCCAGGGCAGGGCAGGGGGCAAAGGAGCACTCGACCTCGCCAGCCTGGGGGCAAGGGACCGGTGACCCCCGGGCATGGACCCCCCTGTGCCCCCTGTCCTGCTCCAGCGCCAGGCAAGGACCCCTGGATGGTGCAGGGGAGCCCTGGAGCATCCCTGGTTCCCATCCATCAGGATAATACAGGGAAGCCCTGCAGCATCCCTGGTTCCCATCCATCAGGATAATACAGGGGAGCCCTGGAGCATCCCTGGTTCCCATCCATCAGGATAACCCAGGGAAGCCCTGGAGCATCCCTGGTTCCCATCCATCAGGATAATACAGGGGAGCCCTGGAACATCCCTGGTTCCCATCCATCAGGATAACCCAGGGAAGCCCTGGAGCATCCCTGGTTCCCATCCATCAGGATAACCCAGGGAAGCCCTGGAGCATCCCTGGTTCCCATCCAGCAGGATAATACAGGGGAGCCCTGGAACATCCCTGGTTCCCATCCATCAGGATAATACAGGGGAGCCCTGCAGCATCCCTGGTTCCCATCCATCAGGATAATACAGGGGAGCCCTGCAGCATCCCTGGTTCCCATCCATCAGGATAACCCAGGGAAGCCCTGGAGCATCCCTGGTTCCCATCCATCAGGATAACCCAGGGAAGCCCTGGAGCATCCCTGGTTCCCATCCAGCAGGATAATACAGGGGAGCCCTGCAGCATCCCTGGTTCCCATCCATCAGGATAACACAGGGGAGCCCTGGAGCATCCCTGGTTCCCATCCATCAGGATAATACAGGGGAGCCCTGGAGCATCCCTGGTTCCCATCCATCAGGATAATACAGGGGAGCCCTGGAGCATCCCTGGTTCCCATCCATCAGGATAACACAGGGGAGCCCTGCAGCATCCCTGGTTCCCATCCATCAGGATAACCCAGGGAAGCCCTGCAGCATCCCTGGTTCCCATCCATCAGGATAACCCAGGGAAGCCCTGCAGCATCCCTGGTTCCCATCCATCAGGATAACCCAGGGAAGCCCTGGAGCATCCCTGGTTCCCATCCATCAGGATAACCCAGGGAAGCCCTGGAGCATCCCTGGTTCCCATCCATCAGGATAATACAGGGGATCCCTGCAGCATCCCTGGTTCCCATCCATCAGGATAATACAGGGGAGCCCTGCAGCATCCCTGGTTCATATCCATTAGGATAATACAGAGGGGTCCTGCAGCATCCCTGGTTCCCATTGAGCAAGATGATGTAGGAAAACCCTGGAGCATCCCTGCTTCCCATCCATCAGGATAATACAGGGGGGTCCTGCAGCACCCCTGGTTCCCATCCGTTAGGATAATGCAGGGAAGCCCTGCAGCATCCCTGGTTCCCAATCCATCAGGATAACCCAGGGAAGCCCTGGAGCATCCCTGGTTCCCATCCATCAGGATAACCCAGGGAAGCCCCGGAGCATCCCTGGTTCCCATCCATCAGGATAACCCAGGGAAGCCCTGCAGCATCCCTGGTTCCCATCCATCAGGATAACCCAGGGAAGCCCCGGAGCATCCCTTGGGACCACAGGACCTACCCTGCAGACGCAGGTCGTGCACTCATCCCCATCCAGGCTGAAGCGGGCACCGTGCGCGTACGTCCGACCTCGAAAGCTGCACTTGGCTGGGAGGAGGGAGGCAGCAGGCCCAGGAATGGGATCATGGAGCAAAGCACAGCTCCTCCGGAGCCCCATCCCCATCCCAGCAGGGCCTGGGGTCCCCCTGCCCCACACACCCCACAGGATGGGGGTCTCGGACCCACCGGGCTGGCAGGAGCAGCAGTCGGATGAGGAGGAGCTGGGGCAGGAGCCGGGGGGGCACTCGGGGGAGATGCAGGAGATGTTCCCAGCCTGTGGAGGGGAACACGGAGCTGCCACAAGGTCCCACATTCCTCAGGCATGGAGGAACCGTGGCAGGGCAGCATCTGCAATAGCGCATCCCAAGCCATGAGCCCGAATGGGGATGCAGGGGGATGCTCCCTGTGCTTGGGGACAAGGAGGATGGGATGCAGGGATCGGGGGACAAGGAGGATGGGATGCAGGGGATATGGGAACAAGGAAGATGGGATACAGGAGACACACGGGGACGATGAGGATGGGATGCAGTGATCATGGGGACAAGGAGGATGGGATGCAGGTGACATGGGGACAAGGAGGATGGGATGCAGGGGGACAAGGAGGATGGGATGCAGGGATCAGGGGGACAAGGAGGATGGGATACAGGAGACACGGGGACGATGAGGATGGGATGCAGTGATCATGGGGACAAGGAGGATGGGATGCGGGTGACATGGGGACAAGGAGGATGGGATGTAGGAGACACATGGGCACAAGGAGGATGGGATTCAGGGGACATGGACACAGAGGGAATGGGATGCAGGGATCATGGGGACAAGGAGGATGGGATGCAGGAGACATGGACACGAGGATGGGATGCAGGGATCATGGGGACAAGGAGGATGGGATGCAGGAGACATGGACACAGAGGGGATGGGATGCAGGGACACAGGGACAAGGAGGATGGGATGCAGGAGACATGGGCACAAGGAGGATGGGATGCAGGGATCATGGACACAAGGAGGATGGGATGCAGGGATCATGGACACAAGGAGGATGGGATGCAGGAGACATGGGCACAAGGAGGATGGGATGCAGGGATCATGGACACAAGGAGGATGGGATGCAGGGATCATGGACACAAGGAGGATGGGATGCAGGGATCATGGACACAAGGAGGATGGGATGCAGGAGACATGGGCACAAGGAGGATGGGATGCAGGAGACACGGACACAGAGGGGACGGGATGCAGGGACACAGGGACAAGGGGGATGCCGGGTGCTCACCAGGCAGACACAGACGGTGCAATTCCCATCGGACAAGGAGAAGACGTCGCCCTCAGCCCGGGCCACCCCTTCGTGCAGGCAGCCTGCGGGAACAGGGGGGGTCAGGGGGGGGCTGCCCCATGCAATGGGGCTGGGATGGGGGGGGTTTGGGGCTCACCTGCACAAGTGGGGCAGCAGCTCCCGCTCGGAGCAGGCAATGGATGGGAGCAGGACACCGTGGGGCAGGTCACGGCCTCACAGAGCACTTGTCCCCCCTGCATGGGCACGGGGATGGGGGGGGCTCAGCAGGGCCATGGTGGCATGGGGGTGGTGACACAATGGGGGGGACACGGTGCTCACCAGGCAGGAGCAGCTCCGGCATCCCGGCTCCATCCAGCGGGCACCGGGATCCCGCGGGATGCCCCGGTCCCAGCAGCGCGGGGCTGATGGGGTGGAGGATCCAGGAGCTCCGTGTTGGGATGGCTCCGTGGCCGGGAACGCCGGAGAGGAAGGAGGGAATTGGGTCCCGGGAGCCGCAGCGGGGAGCTGGGATGAAGGGGAGCCCCTGGGCACCAATAGGGATGCTCCGGAGCCGGGAGGAGGGAGCAGGACCAGGGTGGGAGGATGCTGCAGGGATTGCAGGATGGGCGATGGAGCCAGGATGGATTTGGGGTAACCTGGGAACAGAGGGAGCGGGCATCACTTGGGGCAGGGAACGGGAGCATCCCGCTCCGCTTCCCAGCGCCAGCGCAGGGGGGATGGATACCTTCACAGGACACCCTGTCCCCGCTGAGGCGGTACCCGGGCCGGCAGGAGCATTGGAAGCTGCCCGGGGTGTTATGGCAGGAATGCTGGCACGCCCGGCCCTCCCCGGGCCTCCGGCACTCGTTGACATCTGGGAACAAGGGGATGCGGCGGGGCCATCCCGGGAATGTCGCTGCCATCCCAGGGATGGGCCCGGGAGCCTCGAGCCCGTGGAAGGATGAGGATAAGGCGGTAACAGCCCATCAATGGGGTCAGTGGTCGCCTCCATCCCATTGGGATTGGTGGCGTGGGGAGGGAAGCGGGGGTTCGGATGTCGGCGCTCACCCACGCAGGAGTGCCTGTTCCCATGGAGGTGGTAGCCGGGCCGGCAGGAGCAGCGGTAGCTGCCGATGCTGTTCTTGCAGCGGTGCTGGCACGGGGTGGCCAAGCACTCGTCTGTGTCTGCAGGGAGAGGATCGTGGAGTGATGGAAGGGGTCGGGATGAAGGGGGCTGAAAGCTCCTCCAGCTCCAACCCCTTCCACTGGAGCAGCTTGCTATGGCCTTGAACACTGCCAGGGATGGGGCAGCCACAGCTTCTCTGGGCACCCTGTGCCAGCGCCTCAGCACCCTCATGGTGAAGGATTCCTCCCTTACATCCAAGCTGGATCCCCCCTGTTCCATTCTGACCCCATCACCCCTTGTCCCATCACTCCCATCCATCCCCAGCATCCTTCTATCCCTCCCCTTCAGGCACTGGAAGCTGCTCGGAGCTCCCCACACAGCCCCCATGTTCCCAGCCTGGCTCCACGCAGGAGCTGCTCCATCCTCACGTCCCGATGCTGAGCACACCGGGGCCGGATGCAGCACCCGGGCTGGATCTCACGGAGCAGAGGGGCAGGACCCCCCCACACCCCCCCCCCCTTTCCCCCCAGCCCCCCAAGTCCTTGCTTCCCCCCCCCCGCACCCCGGCAGCGGTGGCGGTCGGCAGCGAGCTGCATCCCGGGGCCGCACTCGCAGACGAAGCCGCCCTCGGTGTTCACGCAGCGCCCCTCGCAAGCCGCGCTCAGGCACTCATCGATGTCTGCGGGGTGGGAAGGGAGCGCTGGAGATTGCGGGGACCCCCCCCAAACCCCCGGCACCCCGCATCCCCCCCCCCCCCCGAGCGCCTCTCACCGGTGCAGCGGATCCCGTTGGAGGTCTCCACCATGGCGAAGCCGAGGGGGCAGACGCGGGCCACCTCCTGGCAGCCGCCCTGGTTACAGGCCAGGTCGCAGCCGTACTCCCCGCACGTCCCCGGGGGCTCTGGGACACGGACATTGGGGACCACGGGGCGCCGGGGCCAGCGCGGAACCCGTCCCCGTGCCCATTGGAGCCCATGGGGATGAGCGGGGGGAGCGTCCCTGCCCCTGCCGGGGATGGGGATGAAGGGGACGAGGTCTGGGAGCGGTACCTGGGCAGGTGATGCCCTGCTCTCCATCGGGGCAGGAGCACAGGTTGGGGGCGATGCAGAGCCCACGGCCGCAGCCGAAGGGGCAAAGGGCTGCGGGCAGAGGGGACAGGCGGCCATGAGGAGGGCAGGGACCCCAGAGACGGTCCCGTGAGCCCATTCCTCATGCAGGGACCCCCACATCCCCCCTGTGAGCTCATTCCTCATGCAGGGACCCCCATATCCCCCCTATGAGCCCATTCCTCACATAGGGACCCCCATATCCCCCCTATGATCCCATTCCTCACGCAGGGACCCCCATATCCCTGCTATAATCCAATTCCTCACACAGGGACCCCCATATCCCCCCTATGAGCCCATTTCTCATACAGGGACCCCCAAATCCCCCATTCCTCATACAGAGACCCCCATATCCCCCCTATGAGCCCATTCCTCACACAGGGACCCCCATATCCCCCCATTACTCACATAGGGACCCCCATATCCCCCATTCCTCAGGCAGGGACCCCCATATCCCCCCTATGATCCCATTCCTCAGGCAGGGACACCCATATCCCCCCTATGATCCCATTCCTCACACAGGGACCCCCATATCCCCCCTATGATCCCATCCCTCATACAGAGACCCCCATATCCACCCATTACTCACATAGGGACCCCCATATCCCCCATTCCTCATGCAGAGACCCCCATATCCCCCCTATGAGCCCATTCCTCACACAGGGACCCCCATATCCCCCCTATGATCCCATCCCTCATACAGGGACCCCCATATCCCCCCATTACTCACATAGGGACCCCCATATCCCCCATTCCTCATGCAGAGACCCCCATGACTCACGCAGGGTGCACTGCCCGCTGCCCGGGGACAGCATCCACCCGGGACAACATCCGCTGCCGAAGGCGGAGAAGCAGACGTGGGGCCCCAGGCGGCGCCTGAGCGAGGGATGCGGGGATGAGGCCGGGCCCATCCCAACCCCCTGGGGCAGAGCAAAGGTCCCGGCCTTGCTCCTTGAGCCAGTGGGGAACCCTCGGCCATGGGGATGGGGGATAAGGGGGTGCCCGCGGCCACGCTGTGCCGGGCAGCGCATGGATGCAGGGGGAAGAGTGACCCCCGAAACGAGTGGGATGGAGGGAGAGCTGTGCCCCTAAGTAACCTGAAAGCAGGGATAAGGAAGCACTATGAGGATGCAGAGGGAAGAGTGACCCCAGAAACGAGTGGGATGGAGGGAGAGCTGTGCCCCTAAGTAACCTGAACACAGGGATAAAGGAGCAGGATGAGGATGCAACAGGGAGAGTGACCCCTGAAACAAGTGGGATGGAGGGAATGCCGTGCCCCAAAGCAACTGGAATGCAGGGATAAGGGAGCAGGATGCGGATGCAGGGGGAAGAGTGACCCCCGAAACGAGTGGGATGGAGGGAGAGCTGTGCCCCTAAGTAACCTGAACGCAGGGATAAGGGAGCAGGACATGGATGCAGGGGGAAGAGCGACCCCCGAAACGAGTGGGATGGAGGGAGAGCTGTGCCCCAAAGCAACCCGAACTTAGGGATAAGGGAGCAGGACATGGATGCAGGGGGAAGAGTGACCCCTGAAACAAGTGGGATGGAGGGAGAGCCGTGCCCCTAAGTAACCTGAACGCAGGGATAAAGGAGCAGGATGAGGATGCAACAGGGAGACTGACCCCTGAAACAAGTGGGATGGAGGGAGAGCCGTGCCCCAAAGTAACCAGAACACAGGGATAAAGGAGCAGGACATGGATGCAGAGGGAAGTGACCCCCGAAACGAGTGGGATGGAGGGAGAGCTGTGCCCCAAAGTGACCAGAACACAGGGATAAGGGAGCAGGATGTGGATGCAGGGGGGAGAGTGACCCCAGAAACAAGTGGGATGGAGGGAGAGCCATGCCCCAAAGTAACCCGAACACAGGGATAAAGGAGCAGGACATGGATGCAGGGAGAAGAGCGACCCCCGAAACGAGTGGGATGGAGGGAAAGCTGTGCCCCTAAGTAACCTGAAAGCAGGGATAAGGGAGCAGGATGTGGATGCAGGGGAAATTGACCCCAGAAACAAGTGGGATGGAGGGAAAGCCATGCCCCAAAGCAACCCAAACTTAGGGATAAGGGAGCAGGACATGGATGCAGAGGGAAGAGTGACCCCTGAAACAAGTGGGATGGAGGGAGAGCCGTGCCCCTAAGTAACCTGAACGCAGGGATAAGGGAGCAGGACATGGATGCAGCGAGAAGAGCGACCCCCGAAACGAGTGGGATGGAGGGCGAGCCGTGCCCCCAAGGCAACCCGAAGGCAAGGGATAAGGGAGCAGGACGCGGCTGCAGCGGGCAGGACGCGCGGGGATGGGCGGCACGGAGCGGGGCCGGTTTGGCTCGGCTGGAGCCAGGTGTAGCCGGGATCAGAGCAAGGAGGAAGGGAAGGGAAGGGGGGAAACCCCCCGGGTACCTCTCGACGGCAAAGCCGGGCGGGTTCTTCCTGCCGGGGTGCGCCGTGCCCTGGCCGGGGGGGCCGAGCAGGGAGACGCAGGCAGCGTGGAGGAGCAGCGCCCGCAGCATGACCGGGGCTTGCGGCTCGCTCCTGCCTCGCTCCGGCAGCCTGGCCCCTTGGCCCCGCTCCTCCTCCCGGCTTCCACGCCGGGAACAATGCGGGGGGTGGAGGGAGGGCGAGAGAGGGGAGCGAACCCATCGGCACCCGGGAGGCGTTGCACGGGGATGCTCGCACCGAGCCCGGCTCCTATGGACGGAGCGAGCGGCTCCCATCCCAGCCATAGGGCACGTTGGGGGGCTCGGGGATGCAGGGAATGGGAGCCGCCCCCCCCCCCTTCCCTTTTTCTCTCCCCCTTTCCCACATCTGGCAAAGCTCCGGCCTGGCCTCTCCCTACCGCTCCTCCTCCTCCTCCTCCTCCTCCTCCTCGAGGCACTGGGCCGCCTGCCCGGCCCTGCACAGGGACCCACCAGAGAGGAGCACGCAGCAGCCAAAGGGGCCAAAGTGGTGCTGGGAGTGGGGGGGGGGGGGGAACCCACATGGGGTGGTTTTGGGGTGCAATGGGGTCACCCCCAACCAAGCAATTCCTTCCTCCCCCATCCCAACCAAAGGCCAGGGGCTGGAGCGAAGGTCGGAGGCAGGTAAATGATTGATAGGAGGGAGCAAAGGGCGGGTGCTGCTCCAGGGTCAAGCCCTGCAGGCTCCAGGTCCCCATTCCATAAGGATTTCCTTCCCCCCCCCCCCCCCGCCATATACAGCCCTGTCCGAGGTTGGATCCAGCATCAGGCACCCCCTGCATGCGTAGAAGTGAGGGTTAAAGGGTGTTCAGTGGGGGAATAGGGTGGGTTTGGAGGGGGGAGCAGGACCCCTAGGGTGGTCACGGACATGATCCCAATGCTGGGATAGGGATGGAGCAGGGGCAGTGCATGGGATAAGCACCCACCACAGAGGCACAGTAAAGGGGGGGATGCTGCCAGCATCCCCGGTGTTGGGGATAGGAGCCATGTGGAGCTGATGTGGTCCTCCAGTTGTAGGGGGGAGGGATGTCCAAGGAAGAAGGATGCAGGATGCTGTCCACCTCCTGCTGCTGGAGGGAAGAGTTTAGGGAAAACCTGCCCAGGATGGGACACGGGGATCTTAACATGAGGGGTTATGGATGGGGATCGTGCACGGGGTGAGATCAATGGGCAGAGAGACAGGGGAAGAGCTTCTTCCCTATCTCCACCCTGACCTTCCCCTGGTTCAGTTTGAAACCATCACCCCTTGTCCTATCCAGTCCCTGATGAAGGGTCCCTCTCTGAGGAAGAGGAGGGCAGGAGCAGCAGAGCAGGGGGGCTGGTTCCCCTCTTCCCTATGGAGAAGGGGATGCTCCACAAGAGCCAGGCTCAGCTCAGAGCCCCAAGGAACAAGAACACAGGTAAGGAGCAGTCAGACAAGGCTGAAATCGCATCCTAATCCCCCCCCCCCCAGATCCATAGGGATAGGGGCTGAGCGCAAGGAAAAGGCTGCTGGAGAAGGAGCCCTGACTGCAATCCCCTCCACTACCGGTGCCTGCTGCCAGGGTGGGTGCTTCCATGGTCCAACAAGCTTCCAAGTGCTGCTGCTCCAGGGCCAGGAATGCATGGAATAGTGTCTAAAATGCAGGGGAAAAACGCCTTGCAGCGGGAAGGGGGAATCCCTCCGGGTGCCAGCAGCCAAACCTTTTCCTTGGACTACTTTATTTGGTAAAACTCAGAAACCACCAACTGCTCCCAGAACTTCCCTCCTGGAGCGAGCCAGTGCAGAGAGGAGCATCCCTATTCAGCTTCAGCACTTGGGATGCAGAGGAATCCTCCTCCTCCTGCTCCGTGTCTCACCACCACCCCCCCCTACCCCAGCCCTCACCCCTGGGGCAGCTTCGCTTCCTCTTCCAAAGAAATCCCAACGAATCCATTAAGAATCCAAAGCAAAACTGAAAGAAGGAACAAGATGCTAAAGACAGCGATGAAGAGGGAATCCAGGCCAGGGAATCCCATCAGCCCCAGCACAGCGACCAGTTCCGGGGCAGCAGAGTCCATAGGAGCCCTAAATCCAAGCAGGAGATGAGGCAGTGGCTGAGGAACAACCCCCCAGAGAAGCTGGATCCCCTCCAGAGCCTCCACGGCCCCCATGGTTGGTGTTTGGTGCAGGGGTTGTGGGGGGGAAGATTCCTTTGCTCCCCATGGAGGAAGGTGGTTGGGAATGAACCTGAATCCTGCTAATGGATCCGGGTCAGCTCCTCCACGATCTTTATGAGGTCGTCTACGGTGGCTTCCCTCTTCATGCCACTGCCATCATCGATCTGCAAGGAGAGGAGGGCTCAGAGCTTGGAGGCAGCAGGAAGAGCTCAAGAACAGTCCCAGTTCATGGCCGTGGAGGAAGGGAACAACTGGGATCTATTCCTTTAGCAGAGCCTGGATTCCAGAGTGGGATTGTGAAGGATCTAAGAGGGAGGAACCCCAGCTCACCTGCAAGTTTGCCACCACCTCCTGCATCTTGGGCCTGCTGATGTCCAGGAAGCTCTCGATCAGGTCGCCATCGATGAACCCCGTGGCTGGTTCCGTCTTGCGCTCGGTGTGAAACGATCTCCAGGTACCACAGTCAAGGAGCCAAATCCATAGGGAATAAGCCCAATCCATAAGGAATAATAAACCCAGCCCTGGTGGGGAGCACAGAAGATGCCCCAGGCTGCCAGTGCCACTACCAAGCCAGATTGAACCTCAAACTCCCCCCAAAAGAGACCCATCCCTACCTCCTCTATGAGCACAAAGCCCTGTGCTGGCACCTAAAGACCTCACAACCACCCTCTCCAGCTGATGTCCACCCCAACCAGAGCATCCCAACAGGAAGAAACCCCCCCAGCACCCCACAGGCACAGGCTCCAGAGGGAATGGTGGAAGGATATAAGGAATGCTCAATCTTGCCCACACTCTTGATGACTTTATTCAGCCTGTTCTGCATGTCCAAGAGGAGGTTGTACCAGCTCTCTGACAGCGAGGTCACCAGGCCTGTTAAGGGGAAAGCAGAGGTAAAGAATCAGGGCTCATCCCAGCAGCCTCCTGGGACTGGAACTGCGCTGGGAGAGATGGGATAAGGAAGTGCTCAAGGAGACCCAGAGGACTTCCCTCTTCTGGAAGCAATCCAGAGGGAAAAGCAGGTTTCTGAAGGGATTACGGGTGAGGAATGGAGAAGAACAGAGGCGTGAGGGAACCCAGCCCAGGATCAGCAGCAGGGACGGCACCTCCTGCCCTCCGTTCAGGATGAGGCCCTTACCAATCATGCCATTGACTGTGCCGAAGAGAACCGAGCCCTGGGTCGGTGTGGAGGTCTCACCCAGGTTCTGCATGACCAGAGATCCGTGGCAGAAGACATTGACAAACTCTCCCAGGTGGGACAAGCCCACCTCCTGCAAGTGCTGACGTTCCTCATCGGTCGTGGCCGCGCTGCAAGGCAAAGCACCCTGCGTTGGGGGGACCCGAGACCTTGCCCTGCTCTCCCCACCTCGCTCCTCAGAGCTGGATACGCTCCTCTCCCAGCTTCCCTGCCCCTAGGTGGGATGTGGAGGAGACCAGAAGGTCCTGTCCCTGCAGCTCACCTGTCCTTCTGGCACACAAACAAGTTGAAAGCATTCTCTGCTCCCAAGAAGTTGTCATCGTCCAGGATCTCCACAGCACTCATCCAGTTTGGATTGAAGTCCCGGGCAATCTGGAAGGGCACAAGAGGAGACCCAGTGAGCCCAGATGGCTTTAACTGTCATCCAGCATCATCATTCCACCCAGCACCACCACTCGGAGCGAGGATCCAGCCTGGCCTCTCTGCTGGCTGAAGCAGCTGAGTGGGAAAGGCACCAAGTGCCTTCTGGACATGGCCCATGTGGTGCTCAGGTGATGCCACAGCATTCCCATTTCAAACCCAGAGAGCCCAAAGCCTAACAGAGGAAGTGCCTGCTCCATCCTCCCACTGCCAGAGCTGCAGCTATGGTCACGCTGAGCTCTTCCAACTGGACAACGGGCACTCCAGATGGCAGCTCCCAACCCTGGCAGGCAGCAAGCATGTACCCAGAGCATGCTCTTCTCCAGGCTGCTGGTACATTGCCCAGGTCCACATTGCTCCACAAAGCACAGGCATCCATGTGGAAGCATGCCTGGGTGATGCTGCCCTCATTGCACAGCCCTAGATCATAGAAGGGTTTGGGTTGGAAAGGTCCTTAAAGCTCCTCCAGTTCCAACCCCCTGGCACGGGCAGGGACACGTTCCACGAGAGCAGGTTACATCCAACCTGAACTTGCCCTCTTTCACTCTGAACCCATCACCCCTCATCCTATCACTCCAGTCCCTGATGAAGAATCCCTCTGCAGCATCCTTGCAGCCCCCTTCACACATGGGAGCTGCTCTGAGCTCTGCGCCTTCAAGGTGGGCTGAGCCAGACTCCTTCTTCCATCACCTCCAACGCACCTCCTCGAAGTTCCCTTCCATGGGCTTGTATGCGAGGAGGAGCACGGACCTCATGAGGTCTCCCACCAGGATGAAGTCCCCTTTGGTCTTCAGGTAGAGAGCCATGATGTTGTTGTAGTGGTTGCACTCCGTGCGCAGCTCCTTCTCGGCTGTCCACTCATAGAGGCGCACCTGAAGGCAGGGACGGTGCTCTGAGCCACCATGGACACCCCACAGCAGCCAGGACAGGCTCCTCCATAGGGATCAGGGACCTGACTGACAGCCAAAGGTGTTCCCAAAACCAGGTAGGGTCTTGCAAGAGCCTTACCGTGCTGTTGATGCTGGCTAAGAGCTTCCCATTGAATTCCACCATGGAATACACAGCTCCCTTGACCTCCTTCTCAGCCAGGCTCTGCAGCTTCCCTGGAATAAAGCCATGCACCCCATGGTTATTCCCCTTGCATTCCCAAGGGTGGCAAGGCAAAGGGAGCTGCTCTAAACATCGTTCTCTTAGAGGATCTGTGGGCAAGTAACACAAGAAGTGAGATGACAGCAGGGGCAGCCACTGAGAAAGGAATCCCAGGATCCTGGCAAAGGATTCCTGGGCTTCTCTAAGAGATGGGA